AGCATCACAGGCATGGTGGCATGATGCTTCCTTTTTCCAAATACATTCTACTACAAACCCACTTTCTCACAAGGTTTCACCTTTGCAAACCATTCTTCGAGCGCATGTATGCATACACCAATTGATTCCATTTTCGCAAAAGTTTTCAACTTCTAGTTCTGACAACTGCGAGATATTATCATGGGAACGTTGCACCCAAGAAATTCTACTAGAAAGGCTTAAATTTGCTTTGAGGAATCATCAATCACAAGAAGCATTGGGAACATTTCATTATTTTAGAAGACTTTATGGTTACCCTGAGGTTCAGTTATTGAATCAAGTTATTGTTCAGTTGTGTTATTTTTCAAATCATGTTTTGGTGAGAAAAGCATTTGATTGGGCTTTGAAAATTGTCAGGAGAATTGAAATGAGATGAATCAGGAATATCCTAAGGGGATATAACAAGTCAGAATCGTTAGGGATCTATATCACAACTTCACAAGTCCAACATAGAATAAGAAATCGAAATTATCGCCAAAAACACTTAGAAAAATAATCAAGATTAAAAGACAAAAATTAATCAAATAGAGTTTCTAAAAAACCATGTAATTAATTAAAACACTAACTAATCTAAAATTAATAATACTATCTAAAATAAATAAACTTAATTTATAAACTAAATAAATAAACAAACAAATAACTAAAAAATAATGTTTTGGTTCAATTTTACTATAAAAAAAAGACATGGGCCTAAGGTCCATTTTTTTCCAAAAAAACAAATAAAATAAAATAAAACTAAAATAAAAACAACCAAAGCTGGGCCGGGTATCCTCATAGTCTAATCCCGAGCCAAACTAACATCAACCACATGCTTTGTAAATATAAAAAAAAAATAAGAAAGGGTCCTTAAGACCCAGTGCACCATATCCTTTCTCGCCTCGTTCCCCTCTTGTGTTTCTCTCTTTTCCTCTGCAATAAATGAATCAAGCTAGCTATCATCTCACGATTTACACATTTTTCCTCATCTTCGTTACTCGCACTAAGCCAACACTTTCTCCTCTCACAACTTTCATCATCTCGCGATGACGCAAGCCTATCGTTCCACAACTTTAAACCGTCGGCGGTAAAGAGGTTTCCTCAGCGACACTCATATAGTGGCGATTCGTTGCAGCTTCGATAGGGTTTACACTAGCATTTCAAATGCTCCCATTTTTATGCTTAAGCAATTCTACAAATTTCTCCCAGAAAACCACAGTCATCACAGGCATCGTGGCATGATGCTTCCTTTTTCCAAATACATTCTACTACAAACCCACTTTCTCACAAAGGTTTCACCTTTGCAAACCATTCTTCGAGCGCATGTATGCTTCCACCAATTGAATCCTTTTCCGCAAAAGTTTTCAACTTCGAGTTCTGACAACTGCGAGAGATTATCATGGGAACGTTGAACCCAAGAAACTCTACTAGAAAAGCTTAAATTTGCTTTGAGGAATCATCAATCACAAGAAGCATTGGAAACATTTCATGATTTTAGAAGACTTTATGATTACCCTGAGGTTCAGTTATTGAATCAGGTTATTGTTCAGTTGTGTTATTCTTCAAATCATGTTTTGGTTAGAAAACCATTTGATTGGGCTTTGAAAATTGTTCAAGAGAATTGAAATAAGATGAATCAGGAATATCCTATGGGGACATAACAAGTCAGGATCGTTAGGGATCTATATCACAACTTCACAAGACCAACAGAGAATAAGAAATTGAAATTATGGCCAAAAACACTTAGAAAAATAATCAAGATTAAAAGACAACAATTAATCAAATAGAGTTTCCAGAAATCCATGTAATTAATTAAAACACTAAATAATCTAAAATTAATAATACTATCTAAAATAAATAAACTTAAATTATAAACTAAATAAATAAACAAACAAATAACTAAAAAATAATGTTTTGGTTCAATTTTCCTATATAAAAAAAAAGACATGGGCCTAAGGCCCATTATTTTCCCAAAAAAACATAACAAAAAACAAATAAAATAAAATAAAACTAAAATAAAAACAACCAAAGTTGGGTCGGGTATCCTCATAGTTCAATCCCGAACGAAACTAACATCAACCACATGCTTTGTAAATAAATAAAAAAACAAGAAAGGGTCCTCAAGACCCAGTACACCATATCCTTTCTCGCCTCGTTCCCCTCTTGTGTTTCTCTCTTTTCCTCTGCAATAAACGAATCAAGCTAGCTATCATCTCACAGTTTACACATTTTTCCTCATCTTCGTTGCTCGCACCAAGCCAACACTTTCTCCTCTCACAACTCTCATCATCTCGCGATGACGCAAGCCTATCGTTCCACAACTTTAAACCGTCGGTGGTAAGGAGGTTTCCTCAGCGACACTCATGTAGTGGCGATTCGTTGCAGCTTCGTTAGGGTTTACACTAGCATTTAAAATTCTCCCATTTTTATACTTAAGCAATTCACCAAATTTCTCCCAGAAAACCTAAAGCATCACAGGCATGGTGGCATGATGCTTGCTTTTTCCAAATACATTCTACTACAAACCCAATTTCTCAGAAAGGTTTTACCTTTATGAGACCATTCTTTGAGCGCATGTATGCTTCCACTAATTGAATCCTTTTTCGCAAAAGTTTTCAACTTCTAGTTCTGACAACTGCGAGAGATTATCATGGGAATGTTGCACCCAAGAAATTATACTAGAAAAACTTAAATTTGTTTTGAGGAATCATCAATCACAAAAATCATTGGAAACATTTCATGATTTTAGAAGACTTTATGGTTACCCTGAGGTTCAGTTATTGAATCAGGTTATTGTTCAGTTGTGTTATTCTTCAAATCATGTGTTGGTGAGAAAATCATTTGATTAGGCTTTTAAAATTGTTCAAGATAATTGAAATGAGATGAATCAGGAATATCCTAAGGGGACATAACAAGTTAGGATCGTTAGGCATCTATATTACAACTTCACAAGACCAACAGAGAATAAGAAATCGAAATTATCGCCAAAAACACATAGAAAAATAATCAAGATTAAAAGACAACAATTAATCAAATATAGTTTCTACAAATCCATGTAATTAATTAAAACACTAAATAATCTAAAATTAATAATACTATCTAAAATAAATAAACTTAAATTATAAACTAAATAAATAAACAAACAAATAACTAAAAAAATAAAGTTTTGGTTCAATTTTCCTATAAAAAAAGACATGGGCTTAAGGCCCATTTTTTTTCCAAAAAAACATAACAAAAAACAAATAAAATAAAATAAAACTAAAATAAAAACAACCAAAGTTGGGCCGACTATCCTCATAGTCCAATCCCGAGCCAAACTAACATCAACCACATGCTTTGTATATAAATAAATAAAACAAGAAAGGGTCCTCAAGACCCAGTACACCATATCCTTTCTCGCCTCGTTCCCCTATTGTGTTTCTCTCTTTTCCTCTGCAATAAACGAATCAAGCTAGCTATCATCTCACGGTTTACACATTTTTCTTCATCTTCGTTGCTCGCACCAAGCCAACACTTTCTCCTCTCACAACTTTCATCATCTCGCGATGACGCAAGCCTATTGTTCCACAACTTTAAACCGTCGGAGGTAAGGAGGTTTCCTCAGCGACACTTATGTAGTGGCGATTGGTTGCACCTTCGTTAGGGTTTACACTAGCATTTCAAATTTTCCCATTTTTATGCTTAAGCAATTCTCCAAATTTCTCCCAGAAAACCTCAAGCATCACAGGCATGGTGGCATAATGCTTCCTTTTTCCAAATACATTCTACTACAAACCCACTTTCTCATAAAGGTTTCACCTTTGCAAACCATTCTTCGAGCGCATGTATGCTTCAACCAATTGAATCCTTCTCCGCAAAAGTTTTCAACTTCTAGTTCTGACAACTGCGAGAGATTATCCTTGGAATGTTGCACCCAAGAAATTCTACTAGAAAAACTTAAATTTGCTTTGAGGAATCATCAATCAAAAGAAGCATTGGAAACATTTCATTATTTTAGAAGACTTTATGGTTACCCTGAGATTAAGTTATTGAATCAGGTTAATGTTCACTTGTGTTATTCTTCAAATCATGTTTTGGTGAGAAAATCATTTGATTGGGCTTTGAAAATTGTTCAAGAGAATTGAAATGAGATGAATCAGGAATATCCTAAGGGGACATAACAAGTCAGGATCGTTAAGGATATATATCACAACTTCACAAGACCAACAGAGAATAAGAAATCGAAATTATCGCCAAAAACACTTAGAAAAATAATCAAGATTAAAAGACAACAATTAATCAAATAGAGTTTCTAGAAATCCATGTAATTAATTAAAACACTAAATAATCTAAAATTAATAATACTATCTAAAAAAAAATAAACTTAAATTATAAACTAAATAAATAAACAAACAAATAACTAAAAAATAGTGTTTTGGTTCAATTTTCCTATTAAAAAAATACATGGGCCTAAGGCCCACTTTTTTTCCAAAAAAACATAACAAAAAACAAATAAAATAAAATAAAACTAAAATAAAAACAACCAAAGTTGGGTCGGGTATCCTCATAGTCCAATCCCGAGCCAAACTAACACCAACCACATGCTTTGTAAATAAATAAAAAAACAAGAAAGGGTCCTCAAGACCCAAGACACCATATCCTTTCTCGCCTCGTTCCCCTCTTGCGTTTCTCTCTTTTCCTCTGCAATAAACGAATCAAGCTAGCTATCATCTCACAGTTTACACATTTTTCCTCATCTTCGTTGCTCGCACCAAGCCAACACTTTCTCCTCTCACAACTTTCATCATCTCACGATGACGCAAGCCTATCGTTCCACAACTTTAAACCGTCGGCGGTAAGAAGGTTTCCTCAGCGACACTCATGTAGTGGCGATTCGTTGCAGCTTCGTTTGGGTTTACACTAACGTTTAAAATTCTCCCATTTTTATGCTTAAGCAATTCTCCAAATTTCTACTAGAAAACCTCAAGCATCACAGGCATGGTGGCATGATGCTTCCTTTTTCCAAATACATTCTACTACAAACCCACTTTCTCATAAATGTTTCACCTTTGTCAACCATTCTTCGAGCGCATGTATGCTTCCACCAATTGAATCCTTTTCCGCAAAAGTTTTCAACTTCTAGTTCTGACAACTGCGAGAAATTATCGTGGGAATGTTGCACACAAGAAATTATACTAGAAAAATTTAAATTTGCTTTGAGGAATCATCAATCACAAGAAGCATTGGAAACATTTCATGATTTTAGAAGACTTTATGGTTACCCTGAGGTTCAGTTATTGAATCAGGTTATTTTTTAGTTGTGTTATTCTTCAAATCATGTTTTAATGAGAAAATCATTTGATTGGGCTTTGAAAATTGTTCAAGAGAATTGAAATGAGATGAATCAGGAATATCCTAAGGGGATATAACAAGTCAGGATCGTTAAGGATCTATATCACAAATTCACAAGACCAAAAGAGAATAAGAAATCGAAATTATCGCCAAAAACACTTAGGAAAATAATCAAGATTAAACATACAACAATTAATCAAATAGAGTTTCTAGAAATCCATGTAATTAATTAAAACACTAAATAATCTAAAATTAAAAATATTATCTAAAATAAATAAAGTTAAATTATAAACTAAATAAATAAAAAAACAAATAACTAAAAAATAATGTTTTGGTTGAATTTTCCTATAAAAAAAAGACATGGATTGGAAGATTTTGACACAGCAGCTTCGACGGCGTCGGCGACTCCGAAGGTAAGTGTCTCTGATCTCCTTCTCCTTTTCTTCGACATCGACCTCTCTACTCCAATGTTTGTTTGATGTGATTGCTTCTGTGGTTCATATGTGTGCTGCTTATGTGTGTGACGCTTTTTCGAACACGATATTTCTCTGTTGTGTGTGATTTATATATGGCATCATCTTCGTTGCTCGCACCAAGCCAACACTTTCTCCTCTCACGACTTTCATCATTTTGGGATGACGCAAGCCTATCGTTCCACAACTTTAAACCGTCAGCGGTAAGGAGGTTTCCTCAGCAACACTCATGTAGTGGCGATTCGTTGCAGCGTTAGGGTTTACACTAGCATTTCAAATTCTCCCATTTTTATGCTTAAGCAATTCTCCAAATTTCTCCCAGAAAACCTCAAGCATCACAGGCATGGTGACATGATGCTTCCTTTTTCCAAATACATTCTACTACAAACCCACTTTCTCACAAATGTTTCACCTTTGCAAACCATTCTTCGAGGGCATGTATGCTTCCACCAATTGAATCTTTTTCCGCAAAAGTTTTCAACTTCTAGTTCTGACAATTGCGAGAGATTATCATGGGAACGTTCCACCCAAGAAATTCTACTAGAAAAACTTAAATTTGCTTTGAGGAATCATCAATCACAAGAAGCATTGGAAACATTTCATGATTTTAGAAGACTTTATGGTTACCCTGAGGTTCAGTTATTGAATCAGGTTATTGTTCAGTTGTGTTATTCTTCAAATCATGTTTTGGTGAGAAAATCATTTGATTTGGGTTTGAAAATTGTTCAAGAGAATTCACGTTTGATTCATGTTGATACATTTACCAAACTTGCTTTGTCTTTGGCTAGAATGCAAATGTCATCACCTGCATCGGTTATACTTAGGTTAATGCTTGAGAAAGGGTTTGTGCCGTCTATGCAATTTTTGTCCTTGATTGTTTTTCATATTGTGAAGACAGAAATTGGAACACAGATTGTAGCTAATTATTTGTTTCAAGTTTGTGATTTTTATAATTGTTTGAAGGATAAAAAAGCGCAACATGCAATCGTGTTGAGGCCGGATACTTTGGTTTTTAACCTTGTTCTTGATGCTTGTGTGAGGTTTAAGTTGGCTTTGAAAGGCTTGTGTTTGATTGAATTAATGCCTCTGATTGGGATAGTGGCTGATGCACACTCAATTGTGATAATTTCGCAGATATTAGAGATGAATGGTTTGAGAGATGAAATGATGGAATTGAAATGTCATATTGACGGAGTTTCGGCTGCTTATGTTAGGCACTATCGTCAATTCTATGATAGTTTGTTGAGCTTGCACTTCAAATTTAACGATATTGATGCTGCGGCTAAGCTTGTTTTGGATATGAGTAGCTCACATAATTGTCACAATAATGAAGAATGTAGGAATCAGTTACAAAAGCCTTGCTTTATCGCGATTGGATCGCCTAACCTTAAGAATGCATTAAAGATACATATAGAGCCTGAGCTATTGCAGAAGGACTATGTGCTTAAACTGGAAGGTAGAGAAGGTCTTGTTTTTTACAAGGGTGGGAAACTTGTTCTTAGTAATAGAGCTTTGGCCAGGTTTATTATTGGTTACAAGAAAGATGGGAGAATTAGCGAACTTTCAAAACTTTTACTTAGTATTCAAGGCGAACAATATTCAGTGGCAGGCTCCAGTTTGTCTTTTGATGTGATCGCTGCTTGCATTCAGATGGGATGGCTCGAGTCTGCTCATGACATTTTAGACGATGTAGAGGCTGCAGGGTCGTCGATGGGCCGCGATTCATATATGTTACTCTTGTCAGCTTATCAGCAGAATGGAATGCAGAGAGAAGCTAAAACACTGCTAAAACAAATGAAGAAGATTAATTTGCACACTGAATTATCTGATGATGCAATCCACAAACACACCCTTTGTGAAGAAACATCAAATTCCATTGGTAAATCAGATTTGGCAGTCGCCTTGGCTCATGTATTGAAAGATGAGAATCAGGCGGTTATTCCTTTGGTTTATAACTTCAACTCTTCGATCTTCTTTTTCTGCAAGGCAAGAATGATAGAGGATGCTATGAGGGCATATAGAAGAATGTGTGAAATGAAAATTCGACCGACAAGCCAAACTTTTGCTCATCTCCTATGTGGATATTCTTCTCTCGGTATGTATCGCGAGATTACGTTCTTGTGGGGGGATATCAAGAGATTCATGAAGAACAGTCATTTAGTTGTAGATAGAGATCTATATGAGTTACTACTGCTAAACTTCATTCAAGGTGGTTACTTTGAGAGAGTGATGGAGGTCATTGGCCATATGAATGACCATAACATGTATCCCGACAAGTTGATGTACAAAAGTGAGTTCCTTAGACTTCATAGGAATCTTTATAGGAGTTTAAAAGCGTCGGATTCGAGAACAGAAGCCCAGAGTAAAAGGCTTGAGCATGTTCAGGAATTTAGGAAATGGGCTGGTTTCAGTTGATTTTAAGTGAGCTCAAAGCTTGCATATAAGGAAGGAGTTCTTGCTTTTATTTAGCATTAAGTGTGTGAGGACTACAAGAGGTATGTTATTTTAGACTCATTCACTAATATACATCATCATGTGTTGATTGTTTGTGAGTTCAGTTTATATATTACCATGTTGAAATAGTTTGTTAGTTATGTTGTCAAAGCATGTAAGAAACCAACACCATATGCATTAGTTGTAAGACTGTCATTGGAGTTCTTTGCTCAAGGACTGTCTTTGAGATTTGATGGTTTAAGACTTGTTGTTGGAAGTTGTGTTGGAGCTGTCATTCATGTTTAAGAGGCTTAAGTGGATAGGTGAGTGTATGGCTGTCATTATAATTCTTCCTTGTATAGAAGCTGCTGCTAGAGTTTTTGTATCTGTCAGTTCATATGCCTTGAGTCTGTGGACTTTTTGTTTGATTACTTTATCCCTAACATGGTTCTGCTTCAGTTCTAATTTAGTATCCTCAGTTTGTGACTTTAGGTTTTGAATTTTTAGCTTGGTAGATATGTTGGACTTTGACATTGTGTAGGGTAACTTTGTTATAGGTAACTGATCTTAGGGGCTGAGTTTGTCAACTCATTGTTGCCAAGTTTAGTCTCTCATTTTCAGGGGCTGGTTTTACTTTGTTGGTTTATTGATGTAGGTAACCAGTTTGGTGCTATCATGAGGGTTTTGACTGATTAGGGGAGTCAGCCCTCTGCATGAGATGGAAATGTGAGGTGCTTCAAGCCTGCTAGGTTTTAGTAAGAGTTAGACTAGGTAGGTTTCACAACTAGGAGTCGGTTCATGCTGTTGGTTTTCATCTAAGGGGTTTAGGATGATAACCAAGTTGGGTTGTCATGAGAGTTTTTGACTGGCTGGTGCAGTCAGCCCCCTGCATATGTTAGATCTGATAAGCACAGGTGGTTTCAGTTGGTTTTAAGTGAGCTCTGATGAGGGGAAGGCTGTCATCATGAGTCTAGTTGAGTTCATAACAGATTAGAATTTCCAACTTCTTTAGCATAGTGCCTTGATGTTCAGAACTATCCAAGTTTGCTAAAGGATTGACCAACATTGTTTCCCATCAGATTTATGTTTAATTCCATGGTTTGCTGTTGTAGAGGAAGATCATGTTGGAACCTGTCATAAATTGGATTCAGGCATTGTCATGTTAGGGTCCATGATTGTTGTCAGGATTTGTTTTGGATTGAGATTGCCAACTCATTACTGGCTGTTTAGACCTTTTGCTAGAAATTGCTTTATGATTGTTTTAGCAAGATTGATAGCTTTCATCTAAAAAACAGTTTTTGAATTAAGTGTGTGAGTGCGACATTGTGATAATAAAAGCTGTTACTATCATGAGATGGAAAGGGGATTGGCTGCTGTCATCAAATTTTCTACACTCAGTGGACCTATGGTACAACAGGCTGATTCTTGCTGTTGCTGTTAAGGGGATTCATTTTAATTATTGAAAATCAACTTGGCTATGGTTAGAAAACTGTTTTGGTTCTGTCAGGATTCATTTTTGGGCTGAGTTTGTTAACTTGTTTTAATTAACAGCAGGGCAAAGTTTGGGATTGCTGTTGGTTGTTATATGGTAGCACTAAGTTTAGATGTTTGTGTTTTGTTTTAAGCAAGTATCTTTGTTTATGTCATTATCTTGATCTCTTCCAAAGTGACTGTCATGATTATGTCTTTATAAAGGTATGTTGATTGGAATTCACCAAATTTGATTGAAATACCAAGAATACTTTGCTTTGACCATGCTGTTTTGTTGATGTTCAACTCATGATTATGTTGCAGCTCATGTACCTTTTCTTGTTCTAATGGTGTTTTGGATCATCTTTTGGTTAGAACTTGATCTACAACATATTTCAAGCATGAGCCTTTTGATTAGAACTTGGATCATGATTATTTTTTCTTGATACTGTGATGTTCTGTTTTTTTACCCTGCAATTGCCTTTCACTTTGTATCCCTCCCCGTTTTTTTTTCTGTCTCTCTGTGTGGTCTGCTTTTATAATCCTTTTGTAATTAATCTTTTGTTGAATGCAGTCCAATACTGTCTTGGAAAGAAACAGGTCTGTATGATTGTTATTCAAGAATTAACATTTCCAAATGAACCATGTTTGATCTTGTGTTGGCTATTAATTATTTTTTCCATTTCAATCAAAACATGTCTGACTTGTTTATCGTTCAATCATACGCAATACTGCTGACATTGAAAGTGTTTCCGCTTTGGTTGGATTGTGTTTAGGAATTGTTTGTGAATTGTGAATTTTCCTCTTCCAACTCAACATGTCACAGTATTGTTTCAGAAATAATTTTATGATGTCGAATTTGGTTCTTGCCTTGCATACGATTGATGACAACTTTCTTCTCTTGCCATTTTTCTTTTGTTCTTATTCAATAGTTATTCGTTGTTCTTGATTTTGGCAATTTACAAAGGCATTGATGCAGTTATGTCATGTTGATTTTCCTGGGCTAATAACAGTAAGATTATTGCAGATATGGAAAAAAACAGACTTCTAGGCCTCGAGCAAACTCTGCATGGCCATCAGGTAAAACTTTGTCTTGTGATCAATTCTTAACGATCAACACAACAATAAAGATACAAACCAAATATCTTGGAGAACTGCACATTAATCTTTATGAGAGTCAACAAAGCAACCATATGGACAGGCGAATCAGATGCGGTTGACCAACTTTGGCTTTCGATCACTGTAAAAAAACTGGTATATCAGCCGTAACTAAACTTGGTAGGAGAACCTCAACCAAAGTCATGCATTCTTTCCATGCGCTCTCCATGCTCTCTGCAAGAAGTTCAGCGGCAGTGGAGTTGTATTTTTCATTCATGGACATAGCCAACTTGGGTAATGGATGAACAACTAACAAAGGAATTTTAAGTTTTACAAGACTGGTATACCAAATAGCCAGTGCAGCAACAACAATAATGTGAGATGCCATTGCTTCTTGACTTGTTCCACCAACACAAGAAACCAGATCTAGTATTTCGTATGCCCCTAGCCAAGTAATTATCTTAGATTCTTCATCCTGGGAAACCTCTTGAGTTTTGGTCTTTCTTTGTTCAAATAAAGTTAATTTGAAATTTTGTAACGCCTAGCTATTGCGACGACGGTGCCTTGTCCTTGGCAAGTCTCATAAAACTTTAAAGCTATTGTCATGTAATTTTGGACAACAAAGAAACTTCGTATCTCTTTTGAGTTTAGAATGAACATGCGAGTTTTGAAGTTTTTATATTATTTTTGAATTTTGAGGTAGCATGTAGTCTTCACAAGAGCTTGTGAACTTGTATTATTGAATGATGAACCTTGAATCTTAAGTTTTAATCCTGACTCTTTGTGAACCTCACCATAATTGAATGATAAAGGTTGCAATCTTGAATGGATTTCGTATAATATGAATTTTCATATTCTTAGCACCTTGAGAGCACTTGCTCTTTATTGATCTTGATCAAACGAAAGATTGTTTGAACCACTTCAAACTTATTAATCACAAACCATCATCAAGAAGATCTAAACTTTTCTCTTAAACTTAAATGACAATATAACTTCATCGATAAGAACAATAATTTTAACTTGATATTTATTGATCTGTACAACTAAAGTCTTGATGATGATGAACTTAGTGCCCTAACCACAAGGATACAAACCATAATATCATTTGCCATGAAATCCATGACCACTCCTCAAATAACCATATTCAAACCCAATAGAACGAAATCCCCAACACACTTTGAGTACACATTGAAGCTTTTGATGGGAGGATACTCATGATGGTGATATCTTAAAACCTTGAACCTAGTGTACTTGGCTGATAGTACACCTAAAATTGAATGGCTAGCCCTCGAGGTTCCTTTGAAGTAAACCCTACTTCATCAGTGAACAAATACATAAAACAAAACATGTAGTCTTGGTTAGCTATGAATGGATGGTTGACCTAAGATAACGTGCAAAGGATCAAAGAATCTAAGAGTAAAATTTGGGGTATAACAATTGCCCCTATTTAAATATTCTTCATCGGATGACATGAGCAATGAAGATCTTCATAAAATTCTGGTGAAAGATATTTAAATATAGATAACCGAAATTTTTTCTCTTAGATACAATGACATGCAATGTTATGGACAAAAGAAACTATCCTACAAACGCTGACATGCAATGAATTCTAATATGATGAAAATGATGGAATGATAAATGCAAAATGCAGAGAAAAACGGAAGCAAACCGGGATAAAGCCAAGACAATGAGTAACCACTCACTGGGGATGACAACGCACTGGGGAACCAAAATAAACTGAGGAAATCTAAAGTGATGGATCAACAGGTTCAGGCATGACCAGTTGACACTTTAGAAAGAAAGACAACAAAAGATCCTTATTGGAGATAGAACTAAAAAGATGGTCTCCACTGGGGAACATCTAGAGTAGTTGACCAATAGGTTCAAGCATGACCGGATGACACTCTAGGAAAAAAGGTAAAGGAGGATCCATGAAGCAATAGGATCATGCAAACAAATACTGGAGTTTTCAAATGAAGAAAAAAACATCAAATCCTCTGGAAATTCCTTGAACGAAGATATCAAACGAGATCTTCAGGAAACATCAGGAAAGATACAGGGTAATTAAACTCTTTTGTATGCCAAAATAATTGAACTTCATGGGGAAATGCTCTAATAAGCTTCTCAGAAGAGACTACTACTTATGATTGAAAGGGACTTACACACTACCAAGAAAGGATAAGTTTCTCAATAAAGAGACTGCCACTTATCTAACAAAAGTAAAAGGATAAGCTTCTCAAATGAGATTGCCACTTATTGTCATAAGGATAAAATTGATAAGCTTCTCAAGAGATACTGCCACTTATCTGGAAAAGGACAAAGGAAATAAGCTTCTCAAGGGAGACTGCCACTTGTTGTTGGAAATAACAAAATGATAAGCTTCTCACATGAGACTGCCACTTATCTGACAAAGA